CTTCTCCCTAAGTTTAAGGTAAAATGAAAAAAAAAATTTCTCTCAATACAATTCCAATCACAAATTTTCCTAAGACTCTTGAATTTTCTCTTTTGAAAGAATCACATACCAGTCACAACTTCTAAAGCTGGTTTCCTCACAGGAATAAGCCCAGGATAATCTGGGTCTCAATTCTAGCTTTACTGCCTAATGTGTGAGTGAGTTTGGGTGAATCAGACACCAACTGAGATTGTACTTTCTCATCTGTGCAATGGGTCAGAAATCCACTTTATAGATGTGTGAAAATAGCTGGTTTAGTGAACATGAAATCACATCTTAAAAAATAGAGTACAAAATATGTTTGTGTCATGATGATGCTGTTATAAAGGTTGAGGCCTTAACAATATGTACTAAAAGAGAATATTGTTGCTTGCTTTGGACTCTAGTAGTATTCACTTCTTTGTTGGCCCCCTCATTGGCTCTCATGTATCCCTTACTTCTTTCTACCATCAATGGTCCAAGCAAGCAGGGTCTTCAATTCCAGTGCACCTGTGACCTTAAAAGAAAAGACCCAAGCTGCTGAAATCCTCTCCTGGAATGAAAAGTTCTTTTTAAAATCTATACTAATTTTGACTAATTCATAAATACATATAGACACAAATATATATATGAATATATATATTTGAACATTATATATAATATATAATTATATATATATATATATATATAAAATGTTCAAATCAGGATAAACATATCTATCACTTCTAACATTTATCATTTCTTTGTGGTAAAAACTTTCAAAATACTTTCCTCTGGCTTTTTGAAATCTATAGTACACAGTTGTTATTTCTAGTCACCCTACTGTGCAATAGCACACCAAGCTTCTTGCTCCTATCTAACCGTAACTGAGCACCCATTGATCAATCTCTCCCCATAACCCTAAATTGTCCTTGGCCTCTGATTACTACCATTCTACTCTCAACTGAAACACAAAGTTCTTAAGATCCAAATGTAAGACTTAAAATACAGGGCATCCTACATGGAAACAGGCCCTTTCTTCCAAACAATTCAAACTCTCTCTTTTGTTCTTCTTTCAGAAGTATAGAAAAATCTTCTATAGACTCTTAACAGGATGCTTCTTAATATTTAAAAATGACAATGGGTATGGGTGTGGTGGCACACACCTGTAATCCCAGCTACTCAGGAGGCTGAGGCAGGAGAATTGCAAGTTCAATGTCAGTCTGGAAAATTAGTGAGACCCTGTATCAACATGACAATTTTAAAAAGAGTTGGGGCTACAGAGCTACATCAATGTTTATAGCAGCTCAATTCACAAGAACTAAAGTGTGGAACCAACCTAGATGCCCTTCAATAGATGAGTGAATAAAGAAACTGTGGTATATATACACAATGGAATATTACTCGGCATTAAAAGAGAATAAAATTATGGCATTTGCAGGAAAATAGATGGAGTTGGAGGAAGGGGTTTGGGGACAGGAAAGATGATGGAATGAGATGGACATCATTATCCTAGGTACATGTATGACTGCATATATGGTGTAACACTACATCATGTACAACCAGAGAAATGAAAAGTCAAGCTATAATTGTGTACAATGAATCAAATGCATTCTGCTGTCATGTATGACTAATTAGAATAAATCATATTTTTTTCAAAAAAGAATCAGGACTGTAGCTCAATGGTACAACACTTCCCTAGCATGCATGAGGTTCTAGGTTCCATACCCAGTACTGAAAAATAAATACATAGATGCATAAATGAATACATACATAAAGAAATAAACGTGAAAGTACCTAAAGGAATGTAAATCTTTAGGGCGTTATAGGTTTTTATTACCCTAGTGACCAATTCTTTGCTAACTATCCCTCAGAAGGGTAACAGAGTAGCCAAAGTATCAACTGCAAACTAAACCCGGACATGACACAATCTTTTCTTTTTATTTGAAAATATCCTGGGGACAAGGAGTAAATCTATAAAACAATTATGGCAGTACATCAGTACTGCATGAATTTATAGCAATGCTGAACTAGGTTTGAAAACACTCATGGCCTGGGATGGATTACCATTTTGAAAATCAATAGATCAGTCAGCCAATGAACAGATGTCACCTCTGTCAATACATTATCAGTCTCTGTGCTAGACAGGAATGAAAGTGATGAGTGCTACCTCAGACTAGTGGGCCAGTGCAATCATCCAACAATGCATCAGTGAGAGCTGAAGAGGGTGGAGCTAGAAGAGTTGCCATGAAGTTGGAGAAGGGAAGAGAGGTTATGAGATGGATAAAGGAAATTAAATTCAACAGAATTCTCTTCATTAAATGCATCAGTATTTTTCTTAAGTGTCATTTCCCATCTTACTTTCTAAATGATAAACCTTCTATTGCCTAGATTTTGAACTTTAAAAGTAAAGAATTATAAAACTATAGGACATACATCCAGAAATGAGCCACGGATTTCATATATTATTATTATTATTATTATTATTATTATTATTATTATTATTATTATTATACTGGGGACTGATCCCAGGGGTGCTTAACCACTGAGCAACATCCCCTGCCCTTTCTATTTTTTTTTTGTGGAGGGGGTACTAGGGATAGAACTCAGGGGCACTCAACCACTGAGCCACATCCCAGCCCTATTTTGTATTTTATTTAGAGACAGGGTCTCACTGAGATTCTTAGTGCCCTGCTTTTGCTGAGGCTGGCTTTGAACTTGGGATTCTCCTGTCTTAGCCTCCAGAGCCACTTGGATTACAGGTGTGTTCCACCATGCCCAGGCCATTTTATTTTTTGAGACAGGCTCTTGCTAAGTTGTTTAGGACCTCACTAAGTTGCTGAGGCTGGCCTCAAATTTGAGATTCTCCTGCCTCAGCCTCCCAAGTCCCTGGGATTACAGGCATGCACTACTGAGCTCAACTTCATACAGTAATCTTTAAAGAAACTGTCTCACTATGTTGCCCAGGCTGTACCCAAACTTGTAGGCTCAAGGGATCACAATGCATCAGTCTTCTGAATAGCTGGAACTGTAGGTACACACCACTGAGACAGGCAATTCCCTGCAATATTAGGATAAGATTTTAAGCCTTCAGAAAATGTTTTCCTACATATTCTATGAAGATCAGAAGTATAGATGTAGTAACTGACTTCTTTCAGCATCAGAATATTTTTCATCCAATTAAACTCTAAAAAAAATACAGGTATCTCTTTAATGAACACTCACAATATGAATATTTCCTATAATGGTGTGCTATGCTCTTTATAAAAAATTCATTACCTAATACTACTAAGTAAATCTGTTTTAGATTACATCCAAGAATATTTTGAAATCATGTATACTTCAGCAAGGGGACTCTTGTATCTTAGCCACTTTCCTAATAGAACTGCAACTTGCATTCCCATCATCTAAACATGTTTTTTCTTATAGCTACCTGTTTCCTCACAATATTCAGTAAAATGTCTTATAAAAGAGTAGGAAAATTAATGAAGGAAGGTAGGTAAACCTAAGAGGCCTACCACAGTCCATCTACTATATGAAAATTTGGGAGAGATAAGGTATATTAGCAGTCAAATGGCTGGAAGCTTTAGGCCTTGAACCACAAATGATGATGAAATCTACAACAATGTTAGATTCTTAAAACAAGGGAAATTTTGCTGTTACAAATGAGTATGATCATAATATAAACGTGTCTCATTTGACACACGATCACAAATGCAGCCTCATGGTAGCCACGGTTTCGGCAAGGCACAGGGAGTGCAAACCACCTGCTGCCATGAGTCCTGCTTTTGGTCCCACTGCTATGAGTAGCTTCAGACAGTAGCTCACAGCCAGCCACCTCTAATCTACTGCTGGGAAGAGAGAATTCTATCCACCCCTTCTTAGATCCACATGTATTGACCTCAGATATTTCCTGTTCAACTCATTCTTTTCTTACCTCCCCTGCCCTCAAAAAGTGGCAGTGACCATAGCCTCCAGCCCCTTCCTCTCACCTCCAGCCCTCACACTAAACACTCTTTATACACCTACTTGATATCCTTCCAAAGGTTTCTGCAAAATGTAAATTGTTTGTAATACAATCAGGTTATTTGACCTTTGATAAACTCATTTATTTTTAAATGCATTATCTTAATTTGCAAGTCATTAAGTGTCTATGTCAGTTAAATTTGCTGTGTTCATTGCTTTGACACTTTTTTCCAAAATAAAAAGCCAGTAACTTGCATTTTTATTCTGTTGGAAAAATATAAATTATATACCTTTGATCATAAGAAACTGCTCACAAAGTCCTCCTGTTTTTTATTTTATTTTGCTAAGTATTATTGGCTTTTAGTGCACATCTTTGATGTAATGTATCTTTTCATTTTTTACTTACCAGTACATTTAAAATGTAATGTAGAAGGAAAATATAATATATTCCCAATGCTGTATACTGTATACTGTATGCTATTGTGGTTTACAGCATACAAAGAGACCTACTAATGAGTTTACCAAGTGTCAAATAACTTGATAGTATTACAAATAATTTATATTTTGCATAAACCTTTGGTAGGATGTCAAGTAGGTATATAAAGAGGGTTTAGTGATATCTGGCAAACTGATCAGCATTTCCCTGTAGGATAAGAATGTATTTTTATTTTTTTCCACTTAAATAGAATATTGGCTTCTATTCTCTAAGTACTATCTTTATTTTTGAGAAAAAGTGTTGAAGTACTATTTTTAGGTGCATTATCTTAATTTGCAAGTCATTAAGTGTCTGTGTCAGCTAAATTTGCTGTGTTCATTGCTTTGACACTTTTTTCAAAATAAAAACCCAGTCACCTACATTTTCATTCTGTTGGAAAAATATGAATTATATTAAGATGTAAAGTGAGTTCAGACCAGTAAATTGGTCATCTTTTTCTTTCATTTCAAAGGAAAAATATGTGTAGATGTTCTTTGTTGCAGTTTTATTCAGCAAAGAGGTATTTCAGCCCTCCATTACTTATGTCAACACTTTCTCTTACCTACGATCACCTGAAGTATGTTCCTCATCTGAATCTTGTACAACTATAGTTTCACTTGATTGCTTTGCAGTATGGAGCTCCTGCAGAAAATCAGGTATATTTAGATTCATAAAATGTATCTACAGGAAAATACTTAAAATTTATAACATGTATTAATTTTAGAAGTGCTCTTATATCCAATGTCAAAATCAATCCCCTTATCAAAATGAGTAAGATGCTGGATTTTTACAGATGTAAAAACTGAGGATTATAGAGATATTATGATTTGGCCCAAGTCATAGAGCTGGTAGATCAAGGAGTAGATTTTTCAATGTCTTATTTCTGTATACTCCACTTGCCATTCAGAAATCAGCATGGTTTATTTTAAAATAAGATCAGATCATGTCACTCCACTGCTTTCCAATGCATTTAGAATAAAATACTCATTGTTATGGATCTCAAAGTTCAGCATAATCTGGCCTCTGTCTGCTTCCTGGATATTATTTTCTACTACTTCTTTTCTTCTCTCACCCTACTGTAGTCACATAACTTACTTTTCCCCTTCCAACTCTCCAAGCTAGCTACCATCTCAGGGCTTTTTATAGCTATCACATCCTCTTTCTGGATCACCTTCCTTTCTTATCACCGTGGAGGAGGTGTCTCGGTCCAAAAGACAAATCATCAGAAAGAGACTTCCCAAACACTCTGCTTAAACTCTACCCTTGGTCACTAGCACTATATTTCTTGTCAGTAAGTGCTTAGCAATTTTTGATCTCCCCTAATGTTTCCTTGGCACCTAGCATGGTACCTGGAAAATAAGTGTTTACTGAATAAATTAACTTATTGTGAGTCTATCCAATGAATTCTAAAGATCAACTTTTTCAGAGATAAAATTTGTGAGTGACAAATTAGTAGAACAGCAAGGGAGGGACAGATTTTATTATCAAATACCAAAAAAACGAGAGAGATATCTCAAAACTCAAAATACTTCAAAACAGATGCTATTCCTTTTTCAAACTTCCAAAATGCTTACTTATCATGTTCTAAACACAGCACCTATCTATTTTCTTTAATAAATTCAACCTTTATTTATTTGTTGTTGTTTTATTTCTTTTTATGTGGTGCTAAGGATCAAACCAAGGCCTCACCTGTCCTAGGCAAGTGTTCTACCACTAAGCCATAAACCCAGCCCCTGCACCTATTGTAGTGTATCAAATCCACTTGTTAATGACAGTGTATCTCTCTGGAGTGCATCTAAATACCCACTAAGATCTCACCTTCTGAAACATAGAAACCAATCTTCTCTTATTCATGTTTCTGCTCACATGAAGAGCATTAGTGATGATGCCTTGTGGCTGAGAGACCAATGAGGATATGCCATTCAAAGGAAACCCATGTGGTCATACAGCATACTCACCTTTAAGACTTCAGATCTGAGGACACACACAGTTCCCACAAAATAAAACTGATCCTCCCAGAGGAGATTGCTGGCGATTGATGTTGCAGGGCAGGTGCATTTAGGATTAAATCCTCCAAAGAACATCAAAGATTCTACATATGTGATAATATCATTGAAAAGTGAATCAGTTAATCCAAAGACAGACACCTACCACATCATCATGCTGTTTAGCAGCCCATTGACAATTTTCAGAATTCTGAGGCATGAGATATTTCCTGGCTCCCTTCTTTTGCAGTCAACCTCCCCTCACCACAGTGCTCTTCACCAAACTACAAACAAGCCATTACTAAAAATTGGTTGTTGTGAGTTCATGTTGGTCTCGGTCTTCTACTATTATTCCATGGATGGATGCATTAATCTAAAAAAAAATCTTGCTTCTTTTTCTTATACAGAACATACAGATATTGTGTGTGTGTGTGTGTGTGTGTCTAGTCTAGTAAAATCTTTTTAAACATTTTCCTGCCTTAATTTCCAATAAAAATGTGAACTTCCAATCTTTCTGAGGACTAATTGTTATTATTTATTTACTTATCCATTTGTTTATCTCATATCCTCACCAAGAGTTTGGCATTATTCACATTTTCAATCTGGGCCATTCTGTTGAATATATCTCAGTGATAGTAGTAGTGCTATCTTGAAGCTTTTCATTTTTTTCTTTCTTTGCTTATTAATGAGTTTGAGCATCTTGTCATATATGTGTAAGCTATTTGGGCTTTTTACCTTGGATCCAAGCCCCAGATGTTTTACGACCCCAAACCAGTTAATGTAAATTATGTTAATTTCTCAGCTTGAAGTTCCTGAAACCTCAAATATTGTAAATCAGGTCCCATGTTCACACATGACAGAAATCTGGGTTCTGATTTCCTATAAATGGCACATTTTTTGTCTGTTCAATTTTCTGAAGAGATGGTAAACTTCCTATTCCTCTAGGCTGGAAGATAGACCTTTAAATTATCTCTAGGTTTTATATACTGGTTCTTAAGAGGGTATTAGTTTCCAAACCCCAGACAACAGAGCCTATTTATGATTTCAAACCCAACCTGGACACCAAAACTTCCATTTCCTCACTACCACTACTTTATATTTTAATTTCTGGTGCACATGCAGTTCCCTTTATCCTAAGCTTTGTTATGTATTAAACTTCTTTCATTAAGTCTTTTTTTTCTTTTTTTTTAAAGAGAGTGAGAGAGGAGAGAGAGAGAGAGAGAGAATTTTTTAATATTTATTTTTTAGTTATCGGCGGACACAACATCTTTGTTGGTATGTGGTGCTGAGGATGGAACCCGGGCCACACGCATGCCAGGCGAGCGCGCTACCGCTTGAGCCACATCCCCAGCCCCTTTCATTAAGTCTTAAACAACATTGCCTTTTGTGTAACAGGATAGAGTCATCCTTTACCAATGCAATCCAACATGATTCTCTATGATCCCCATGTTGTAAATTTCACTACTAGTAATTTTAATGTCTGTATGTAGCCAGAAACTGTGATTATAGGGTTATGAGAGAATTTGTGAGTTGAAAGAGTAGGAGAACATTTAGTTAGTAATGAGGGCTACAGAACTCATGAATTTCATCTAGAGAAGATGAACTGAATTTCTCACCATTACAGATGTGTTTGAGACTCAGGATGAATTTCACATATTCATAAGTAGGACTTTCTTCTAATTCAACATTTCCTCTTTTTAAATAACAGCAAAACTCAACATGGTTTCCCACTAAAAGAGAATAGGAACAAAAAAGTCTACATTTGTATTGTGCCACATTCTACTGGATTGTTTCATATGACTAATGTCTTACTAGGACCAGATTTCACAGACCATTATTTTTCTTTCCATCAACATTAGCACTCACATAGCTATCTCTGTCATATCTGTAGAATCGGGTACTAGCTAGAACACTACAGACCCTCGTTATTTTATTTTATTTTATTTTATTTTGGTACTGGTGATTGAACCTATGGGGTCTTAACCACTGAGCCACATCTCCAAACATTTTTGATATTTTATTTAGATACAAGGTCTCATTGAGATGCTTAGGGCCTTGCTAAGTTGCTGAGGCTGGCTTTGAACTCATGATTCTCCTGCCTCTGACTTGCCAGACACTGGGATTGCAGGTTTGCACCACTGCACCCCTTATTATTTATTTAGCAGTAATACAATTATACAGACACTGCACTAATGAGGGTTCATAATAAATAACAAGATTTAGCAGAGGAGAGACTTTTTAACACTAGAAATACAATTTGTAATATAATATGATATTAAATTAAATTAATATATGATTAAGAGCTATAGTGGCCCTAATCCATGTTTAAAAATTACTGCATTGAGTTTGTCTCTTAAAACCTAAAAGCTTACTATTTTTTTAAAAAAAATATTTACCTGAGCATGCCAAAGGAAGTTTGAGTGTAATCTTACGGTAGACTTCAGTTTTCTCTTCGTCATGCAGAAAGCTCAGTAATTTTTTGCCCACAATATCCCTCTGGGAAGAGAGGAAGAGAGAAAAGAGGAAGAGTAAAAATTTTTCCATGTGTTAATATTGTTCATTCACCTCCTTTTAAAAATATTCATTTTTTAGTTGTAGTTGAACACAATATCTTAAATTAATTAATTAATTAATTAATTAATTAATTTTAATGTTTTTAATATTTATTTTTTAGTTGTAGATGGACACAATATCTTTATTTTATTTATTTATTTTTACGTGGTGTTGAGGATCGAACCCAGGGTCTTGCATGTGCTGGGCGAGTGCTCTACCACTGAGCCACAACCCCAGCCCTATTTACCTCATCTTTTACCTCCAATGAGCTTGGCCTCTGCCCCAACTCTATGGTTATACCTGTCACATGTCACACAGTTCACCTTACTCTATCCTATGACCACTACCTCTTACCTTTCTAGAGCATTCATGTAAGTATCCTACCTCTCCAGCAATTCCACTCATTGAGACCTCCAGTCTATTCCTGTCACATTTTCACTGTCTCCCTCAAATATTCACGCAGAGAATGTGAATCCCCAGCTCAGGTTCCAGAGTCACTGTGATCATTTCCATGTGCTCTTTCCCTCTGCCATATTTGCCTGGGGAAATCTCCAACTATTCATGTATCACACACCTTTACCCAAGAAACTGAATATAGATGGAAAAAATGAACCCACCTAACAACCATGTGGAATAATGGGTATTCAACCTTGCCCTAAAGCACTTCTGTTGCAATTTTCTCTCCTACTCTTTAGTGTGACTATTTCTTGTCTTTTCTTCCTTCAAGCCTCCAAACACCCAACTCTCTGCATTATAAGCTGACCTCATTTATTTCAGTGCAAAATAAGAAATGGAATTATCAACACCTCCCTGCCACCAACTTATTTATCCCCATGCCTGGAGATCTGCTCTATTCTTATGAATAAGCTCCCACCTAAGTCTAACTCCTTCCCTTGTATAGTCAATCTCATTCTCTCTTGACTATTCAAATATGTCATTCTAGAAATCCTAACCCTAGCCACACATCACCAAGCTTTTGCTCTTGGCTAGGTATTCCTATAACCATGCTAATCTCTATTGTACATGCTACTACAGCTGTTATCTCAAAAACAAAAACAATAAAAAATTGTAAAAACTCCAAACCTTCTATCCTCCAGTTCTAACTCAATTTCTCTGGTCTATTTTGGAGAAAAAATAATCTTGAAATGAACTATATTTCTTATCTAATCCTTTCTTCTCACTTTCCCTTGAAACCACACTAAGCAATTTTTTATCCTAACCACATCACTGAAACTCTTTTTGTCAAGATCACCAAAGACCTCTGTATTGCTAAATTCAATAGACAATTTTCAGTCCCCATTGTTTTAGACTATAAAGCTGACTTTAAAGAAAAAGAGAGTGTATTCTAAGTGACGGTCCTCAAATTTGGGGTTGATATCCATCAGCCTTCATCTTTTTAAAATTTATTCTGGTTGTATACAAAGTATATTCACACCAATTCATGTCTTCATACATGTACTTTGGATAATGATGTCCATCACATCCCACCATCCTTGCTAATCCCCTGCCTCCTCCCTTCCCCTCCCACCCCTCTTCCCTATCTAGAATTCATCTAATCCTCCCATGGTCCCCCCTCCCTACCCCACTATGAATCAGCTTCCTTATATCAGAGAAAACATTCGACATTTGGTTTTTGGGAATTGGCTAACTTCAGTTAGCTTTATCTTCTCTAACTCCATCCATTTACCTGCAAATGCCATGATTTTATTCTCTTTTATTGCTGAGTAATATTCCATTGTGTATACATGCGACATTTTTATATATTCATCTATTGAAGGGCATCTAGGTTGGTTCCACTGTTAAACTATTGTGAATTGTCCATCAGCCCTCATCTTAACCTCTCAGCATTCAATTCAACTGATCCCGCCTTCCTTTTATTAATATTCATTAGTTTTTCGATTGATAAATACTATTTGTACAATGTGATATTTTGATTCATGTATATACTAGGTAGTGTGATTTAGTCAAGGTAGTTAGGAGATTCTTCATCTTAAAAACATTTATCATTTCTTTATGGTGAATACACTCAAATTTCTCTCTTCTATTTTGAGATACACAATGCATTATTGTTAATTGTATTGACCATAGAACACCAGAATTCATCCTCCCTATAATGTATGCATTGATTGAGCTCCCCTCCTCTTTCCTCCCCACTATTCTCCCCAGCCTCCAGTAACCATAATTTGACTCTTGATTTCTATGGGATCAACTTTTTAAGTTACCACTTATGAGTAAGATCACGTGCTGCTTCTTTCTGTACATTGCTTATTTTACTTAACATAACATCTTCCAAGTCTATACATGTTGTCTCTAACAATAGGAGTTAATTCTTTTTAATGGCTGAGTAGCATTCTGTTATGGATATACACCATATTTTATTTATCACTTGTCTGATGGTGGACATTTAGGCCAATTTCATATCCTGGCTATTATAAATTGTGAAGCACTGAATAAGAGATTGTAGGTGCTTTACTTAAAAAAATATTCTTTTAGTTGTAGATGGACACAATACCTTTATTTAATTTATTTTTTTATGTGGTGCCGAGGATTGAACCCAGTGCCTCACACATGCCAGGCAAGTACACTACCACTGAGCTACAACCCCAGCCCTCAACACATTGATTTCTAACCTATTCAGAGTAAAAGCACTGTATTTATGGTGTCCTTTACCACTCTTATGTTCTGGTTCCTTGCTGCTTTTCACTCTTTCCTTCCTTGCTTGCTGCACTCCAAGTGCATCCTTAGTCACATCCAAGAAAATACCCATTTTTGGTTCCTTAAATTTCTCCCTTCTGCTTTGATTGCATTCTTATTTTCCCATTTTTCTACTCAAAAGTATTTTTAATGGTTCTGTTTAGTTATACATAACATTAGGATTCATTTTTAAAAAATATTTATTCTTAAGTTTTAGGTGGACCCAATATTTTTATTTTACATTCATGTGGTACTGAGGATTGAACCCAGTGCCTTGTGCATACTAGGCGAGTACTCTACCATTGAGCCACAACCCCAGCCCAGGATTCATTTTGACAAAGTTATGAAAGCATGAAATATATCTTGTTCTAATTTAGTCCCCAATACTTCCCATTACCTTCCCCTCCCCCACCCCTTTCCCTCTGCTCTATTGATCTTTCTGCTATCTATTTATTAAATTAGTGTCTTATGGGTGTGTGGATGTACACAATGCTGAGTTTCACTATGGTATGTGCATATATGTACACAGGAAAGCTAAGTCAGATCCATTGCACTGTGTTTCTCTATCTCCCTGATATTCTGCCACTGCCTTGTTACCTGTTTATTATGTGTCTCTCATTAAAATGTAAATTGTGTTAAAACAAAGACCTTGTTTGTCTATTCACTGCTACATTCTCAACACAAGAACAGAGCTTGGCAAAAGTGAGCTCTCAATAAATATTAGTTGAATGAATAAATAATGCAGTGCCATGTAGCTGAAATATACTGACATATGGATAAATTGAATATCAGATGTAGAAGTAATGTGTTTTTAATGATAGGAACAAAGTAATAAACAACATATTCTTTGTAACTGAATAATGGTTTTGAATGATGAATCACAAATTCAAATGAGTTTTTTAACTAATTAGTATTAATAACCTCCAGTCAATAAATAGAAATATATTTTAAGGCCCATTTGTAGAAGCATCCTATGAATTGGCCAATGCTCAAAGTAGCAGATGGGTCCTGTCTCAATCAAGAAAAAAGCTTGGCTTGATTGTGGATAGAAATATTACCTTAATTTAGCAAACAAAATGTTATGAAATTAAAAGGTAATAAATTTTGCCAGTAAAAGTCACTGAAAGAAATGTAGATTTGTTTTCATTAAACTTAACTTCTTCAATAAAATTGCTTATTGTTTTAGTTATAGAATACAATTTTAATACAAAACCAACTTGTCCGTGATCAGTGGAGGCTACTCATTCATTCATTCATTCATCTAACAATGATTAGACATCTGTACCATGCCGGACATTATGATAGGTGTACTAGCTCACAGAATCTTCAGGAGAGGAAGAATTATCCCCTCTTATTCATAAAGAAATTAATGCTTATTCAATTTTGGGGAATGCATAGATGCAGAAATGAGATTTGCACAAAAATTTCATCCAGCCCCTCATTTATTGTTATTTTCATTGCATTGTAGCTGCCTCAAGTCCAGTTTTGTTCAGGATCACACTGACCCATTTCCAGCATTAAGGACACTATGTGGAGCTATCCATTTAAAAATTTTTTGGTGGGCTAGGGATATAGCTTAGTGGTAGAGTGTTTTTTTTAGTATGTGCAAGTCTCTGGGTTCAATCGTTAGCGCTGCAAAATAAGTAAATAAACAAATGATTTTCATACTGAGTACTTGTAAAAATTATTAAAAAATGAAACTGACGTGAAATATAATTCCAATGAGCACCTAGTCCAGCAGGGCAGATGAGATATGCACAATTATGATGCAAATTATAAAATAGTATCATAACAGGAAATATGAAGTTCTAAGACTTGTCAGGTTTTTTTTTTCATTAAGAGAAAGATAGCATTGTCATTTAAAAGAATCAAAGTGATCAAAACTGTAGTTCACATTCCCATGGATAGAGAATAGAGGCAGTGAGTTTCTTGTTGGTTCTGTAAGGATGAAACTAGTGACAATAACCACTAACTAAAACAGATGTAACTATCATTCCAGTGACCCTTCTCTTTAGAGAGAAAAAGGGCAATAACCTGAGAGCATTACCAATCTTGTGTTATTTTTGTAAATCTTTGATACTTATTATTATTATTATTACACAAGGCAGAAAGATCAATGTACTTAGAGCTTAATGAAGCAAGGATAAATACCAGTGAAAAACTAAGAAGGCTTTTCAAAAGCCAAGTTTGAATACCTATTAATTTCACAAAAATATTATTATGGTCTTAGTCATGCTGAAGAAAAAAAGAATAAAGGAATTTATCCCACTCCATGACGTTTAGAGTCTAGGCAAGAAGCATTTTCTTTTCTGCCAGAGACATTTATGTTAAACATGCATTAGAAAACTGTTCAACTGTATAGGGCACAGGGAAGGATAAGCGGCTCTGCAGGAGGTTCAGGCTGGATCTCGAATCAAATGAGACTCATCACTGGTAATTCTCTGCTATTCTGTGAGCTTCTCGGGGAAAACAAAGCAAACCTCAGAATTACCAGAAACTAACCACATACGTACCTTCTACACTTGCTAAATTCTCTTGTTAAAATTTCAGTGCTGAGAAACTCCATGATACAGTGTATGTTTTTAAAGTTTCATTTGTTTAAGAATTACACAAAAGGATAACTATGTAAGTTCCTAGATGTGAATTTTTTCAAGGAGATGATGCAGTAGACTGAGTAGGAGTGCAAGCTTCTAAGAACAGAAAGTAGTGACCTCAGATAACTATGTGACTTGACCAGAGGAAAGATTGTCAAGGAAAATAAATGACTGGGAAAATAATATGGCAGATCTCAGATGTAAGTTTAACACCATGATGATTATAATTTTATATTCTGCTGTCATGTATAACTAATTAGAAAAAAATTTAAAAGTAATATACATAAAAATAGGTGTTACTTTAAACTGGACAGAATGTTTGATTTTTGTATTACTGAAAAAATAGACATCAATTTTGACAGCATGTATTATTACATGGTAACTTAGACATAGTCCATCTCTGTTCCATTTCCCTTGTAATCCATTAGTAAAAGTTACTTTACCTACAAAATACCTCAATTCCAATCCTATCCCATCCACCACCATCTATTGCCAGGAATGTTGCAACTGTTTCCCTGCCTGCTCTCCATAGCCATTTCTTAACATATCAGTCAAAGTGTCATAAAACTTAAGTCAGATCATGACAAATATCTGTTCTAATCCCGTCAATGGCTTCCTCTCATCTGAGAGAGAAAGGTAAAGTGATGACAATGGTCATAGGAAAGGTGGCTGCATCACTGTGACCTAATCATCCCCTAGCTGTCCTTCTTTCACTCACAGGGCTGCAGTCATGCCAGCTTTTTTGCTTCCCTTTTACACACCAAACACATTCCTGCTTACAGGCCTTTATACGTACTTTTCTTCTGTCTAGAACATACTTGCTCCAGTTATCTGCGTGACACATAAACTCACTCCATTCAGGTCTCTGTTGAAGTGTCACCTAATTGGGCAGGTCTTCACTAACCACACTATTTATTAGAGCCCACTGCCCAGCACTAAGTGTTAGTTTTTCCCCACTTATATATGAGCAACTAAAAGTCATGTAGATAGTGAATGACAAAGCTAAATTTTAATCTCCATATTATTTGAATTCAAACACCAAGTTTTTCTACCCCATCATGCTATCACTTGAGAGTTGCCCTAGACAGAGATGACTTGACATTTGATCAAATTGTAGATTCCTGGAGCCAGGAAAATACTCCAGAAATGGTTTGCTCTTCATATTAATATAAGATGGGTGCCTTATAAAATGAAAATTTTAACCACAGCCTGGGAAAAAAAGATTGTCTATTTTTAAAAATTAAAAGTAGAACATAATAAAAAAGACCTGAAATGATGCCTCAGGTATAGTCCTTTATAATCCTGTTTTATAAGAATAAGAATATATAACTTCATCTGGGTGCAGTGATGCATGCCTGTAATCCCAATGATTTGGGAGGCTGAGATAGGAGAATCACAAGTTCCAGGCCAGTCTGGAAAAATTACTGAGATCCTGTCTAAAAATGAAAAAATAAATAAAAATACTTGGGGATGTAGCCCACTGTTAGAGCACCTCTGGTTTAACTTTCCAGTACCCCCCCCCCACGAAAAAAGAAAAGAAGAATATATAAATTTATTCCCACTATGTTTTTATACAGATGTATTCATTATACCTTTATTTTTATTTATTTGTGTGTGTATATGCATGTGTAATGCTGAGGTGGAGCCCAGAGCCTTGCACATACTAAACAAAACACTATACCACACAGCTGCATTCCCAGTCCCTATGTCTTCATTTTCAAATATATTAATCTAAGGTAATTAAATCTAGAGCTTAAGGTACATAGTTTTTAAAAATATTTTTTAGTTGTTGATGGACCTTTATTTAATTTATTTATATGCAGTGCTGAGAGTCAAACCCAGTGCCACACACATGCTAGGTAAGCGCAGTGCCACTGAGCCACAACCCCAGCCCCTAAGGTATATAGTTTAATACACATGTCTCAGATACCTTTACTTTATGGCAACACTATGTGTGTAATGTATGTGTGTGCCAGTGTGTGTGTGTGTGTGTGTGTGTGTGTGTGTGTGTGTGTGTGGTACCTCAAATGCTAAAGTGTAAAAGAGTCTCTTGAAATTGAAACTTTGAACCAAACACACAAAGAAATCAGGAAAATATTATAACTAGCATTATTACTGTAAAAATTCTCACTCAATATCACTCAATACTAAAAAGTCACCAATATAGCCAGAAGAAAACTATTTGTAAACAAACTTATTTGGTTGTACTATGTAATACCACAAGGATATGAAAAATTTTCAGGTTTTCGCTATAAAAATACTTCAACTGCAATGAGTCATTCTCACATTCTTGGTTTGTTAAAAAAGTCATATAGTTGTAAATGGACAGCATGCCTTTATTTAATTTATTTTTTTTATGTGATGCTGAGGATCAAACCCAGTGCCTCACATATGCTAGGGAAGTGCTCTACCACTGAGCTACAGCCCCAGCCCTCACACTGTTGTTTAATGCAGATGTAATAAGATGCTTCCTCCTCTATGCTAAGAATATGCTAAAGTTCAATTTACTATGTATCTCTAATGTTTGCATTTTATTCAGCTGTTTTGACATCCTACAAATATAAGCCCAATGTGAAAATTTAAATTGTTTTTGGAAAGAAAGGAAGAGAAATGGGGAAGATAGATTCTACTGTCTGTAAATAAAAAGATATGAAAACTTCATGTACACCATGGAACATGCCAGCTGATATGGCTTAATTAGTGAAATAAGCATCTAATACACTTCCAACTTAATTACATAATAATATTACCAAATTCCTATTAGTTTCCATGTTCCAAACTTAAGTGCTATAGATCTCTGATTCAGAGTTTGACAAGTTCTTGAGGCATTTCTATGGAATTAGGAATATATAATGAAAACAACAACACAGATATTATTAACATAATCCCCCAATGATATATATTTTAGGGGGACGGCTTCTGATGTATTCCATATACCCCCATTCACAGGCATATGTCATTGGTATATGACACTGTTTCTATAAACTGTTTCTCCAGAATTCATATGTTGAAAGCTAACCTTTAATGTTTGGTATTCAACAGTGGAGTCCTTGACAGTGACTAAGACATATAGGACAGCCTTATAAACAAGTCTCCAAGGATTTCTCTTGTTTCTTTTACCTCATGAGAATACAGCCAGAAGAAAACTGTCTGTAAACCAAAAAGTGAGCCCTGTCCAGATAACAAGTCTGCTGGCTCCTTCATTTAGTCTTCCCACAAAAGAAGCTTCTGTTGTTTATAAGCCACTTAGTCTATGCTATTGTGTTAAAGTACCTTGAATGGAATAAGAAGGCATGTAGTAGTCTCATATTTACAAGATATAAATAACATCTAATAAAAGTAATATATTTGATAAATTAAGTAATATTTTATGTAATATACTTGTCAGGGGTGCAATGTGAAGATCCAGAAAAATCATTAGAAAATTATATGTTCCAATTCAATAGCCCTATGAACGGAGAAACCTTCCTGAGAGGGGTGCTGTGCCACCACACCAAAAGGCTTAGGAATGAGTGACTGTTTTTGGACACCAGAGACACTGAGAACAGTTAATGTGCAGGTATCTGCAGTAATACTTACGATGTGGCTGTTATGCAATTCCTTATATATTAGTTTCTCTAAATTTGTTCAATAATTTGTTCTTCAATATAAAAGATATTTTTTAAAATCCTATATCAGCCCAGGAATGGATGCCATGAGACAGCATGAGCAAATACTAGCTTTCCTTTTTTAATCAGTATGTAATGAACTCTAAAGTCAAATACCTATCCAACACCACCACCATCTCTTCTCAAAGTAATCACTGGAAAGTATCTACTGATTCTGAGGAGAATTTGTTGTTATAGATTTACAACTGACAATCACTGGAGATGACATTGAAATGGGCACATTTGACAATATTGAGAATGTCTTTTCTGATGAGTTATATGCTCTTAAAATGAAATAATAAGCCCTAAACAACAAACATGAATGGCCCACCTTCCCCAAAGCTGGAAGAACTTACTGGCAGGTGGCCAAGGAGAGACATGACGTTTTCAGCCACAAACATGATCACTCCATCCGTGCTCAGTATAATCATAAAGCCATCCAATGACTAATGAAGAGAGAAATATAATGTCATTAAATACTGGAACAATAATAAAATGATACCTTTATTTCTAAATGCATAATTATAATAGTACACTGAAAATGCACTGCATTTCTTATATATCAATAAAGTAGGCACATACTTAATTAAAATTCCATTATTCTACCTCCTACACAGAATCTACTTAACTTTAAGCATGAGATGTTTATCAAATGATGTGTCACTTAGGCAAACAAATTTCAATGTACACCCAATTAACACAAAACTCTTCAACACAAGCAAGGAAGATTCATTTCCATGTGTAGGTTGTTTTGCTTTAAGCGTACTTAATTTAAAAAATGCCAAGAATATTTTGAGGGTACTTTTGTTAGTGGTTAGTTTAGTCATCTAGTTATAAATATGGATATTGTCATCACTTTCCTGTTGTATAATGGATTTAGTATAGTATAGAGAGAAATGGCTCCTGGTAGAGAACAACTAAAATGATGAATAAAATATACAAAAAGTCATTTTGCAAAATATGACCAAGCTTATGGTAAAGCAAGGGAAGCAATCTGATATCTGAAATCAGTAGGACATGACAATCAAGACATAAGGGAATATTGGTGTCTGTCATTAGCTTGGGAACATCTGTCCCATACTGAATACTTAGAACTTGGAGGTTTGAAAGCAAAGCCAAGGCCTGTTCAAGATCAGAAAAGAATTCAGTCTCCTATGTGGAGATGTGTACCTTTAGTAGGCAAAATAGAAAAGTTTACACAGCAAAGGGAAGTAGAGACTGTCTGCCTGCCTTATGTTCAGTTCTAAGATGACTAGAAAAGAGTAAATTGTCTCCCCCAGGAAGCACTAAGTGAAAGCCCACATTCACACAGATACTACCCAACAACCAAGTCTAACATTGAGTTGAAAATGGTTCTGACCTTTGCAGTCTAATAAAATGAAAGCAAACTCACCTATGGAGAATTAATTTAAAAGGAGAGCTTGGGGAATTCATGCAGACAAGGCTACAAATAATATGAGCTTATAGTTAAAACATTAATAAGCACAGAAAGACATGGACAATTATGAATGAGAGGCTGCAGAAATAATAAAACATAAATTTACATTCAAAAAAGGAGATATTAGAATTACCACATATAGAATATAAAATAAATATAGCATATTTATTACACATGAATAAATAACAAGTTTACTGAAAATCTGAAGGAACAAGACATTCAAAACTGACTAGAGTAATTTGAAGCATAAACAAAATATCTACAAATGGCATTATAATAAAAAATAGAAACACAGAGGCTGGAAGTGTAGTTCAGTGAGTGGTAAAATACTTGCCTACCATGCAGGTAAAATACTTGCCCTGGATCCCGTCTCTAGCACCTAAACAAACAAAAAACTCAGTGTATAGGCTAAATACGATGTTAAGCCACAGCTGGGAAGAAAACTTTTGAACTGGAAGATGCAGCTGAAGAAAAGACTGATTGCAATACAAGAAGGTTTATGAATGAAAAATAGAGGAAATTTCATGGAAGGTAAAAGTCCAACATATGTCGAAAAGGAGTTCCAGAGGGAAATCATAGAAGAGAGGAGAAATATTCAAAGAGATATAGGACAAACTTTTTCCAGAAGTCATGAAATACACCCATGTTGAGATTTGGGAAGCCAAAATAATTGTGAAGAGAATTCTACATGTGGATAGAGTCATCTTACAAAACAGAGGATTCCAAGAGGCAGACCAGAGGGAGGCAGTATCCTGTGTTGCTCCCACCCAGTTCTCATCTAGTCAGAATACTGCATCTCAGAGAGTGTGAGAGGACCCCTATAAACCTGATTTCCAGAGAAATCATCAGTGCCGTGACCCCACACAGGGCTCAGAGCCTCAGCATTCAAGTAGGACTCCAGACTCCTGGCTCCCCAAACCCAAAGCCCGCAGTTCTAGCCCACACGCAGCTCTCAAGAAGCTTAGCAGAATCACCTATCAGCACCTCTGAAGAACTCCAGACTGTGCTCTGCTCCCACACAGGTCACTCAGTGACTACCTACCCACAGCACAACGCCATCGCCTGGCTACCCCATCTCACCAGACACCCAGTGCTGGAAACAGACTGAATCCATTGTGAGTAACCTTTCTCTCCATATTTGGTGGGGGCAGCTCTCAGATCAAATCTCCATCTGGCCAGGTACTAGGTATCCAAATCCCCCCCACCTCCCCAGTGGCAATAACTTGACACAGTGACTACTCAACACTAAAACAGCTCCCAGTTGGACAGGTGTGCAGTGCAACCAGGGTGCCGCTCATCTGGTGTTAGCCTGGCTGTGAGATATCCAGCAGGTGGAAACTGGTGAGAGACAGGGGATGGGACTAAAGTTTGGAGCCTAACAGAGAGACCAGGAGCTGGGAAATCTCCAGAAAAGAGAGGAAGACAAGAGGTGTTCAAATCAGACAAGTGGTCTCAAAAAGAGACCATTGAGGTACAATATCCCTGCAGGGACTGGTGGGTGGCATTCCCCACTCCTAGATGCCATACAACAGGACCTGCCTTCCCACCCTGGTTCCTATACCATCCTGAGGGCAGAGACACCAGCTTACAACAGACAACCCCACCTACTGGATGAGAAGAGAAGCAGAAAAGATATGGATCTCTAAAACTAGCAACAACCCTGGTTTCTTCTTTTGAGTAATTTTATTGGGATACAGGAAGGCATAGAGGTTAAAATCAAAGGAATGAGTAATCTATTTAATGAAATAATGTCAGAAAACTTTCCAAACATGAAGAATGAAGTGGAAACCCAAATTCAAGAAGCCTACAGGACACCAAATGAACAAAACCACAACAGAGCCACATCAAGACATATTATAATAAAAATACCCAACATATGTCGAGGATGCGGGGGAAAAAGTACACTCATACACTGCTGGTGGGACTGCAAATTGGTGCAGCCAATATGGAAATGGAACCACCATTTGACCCAGCTATCTCTCTCCTTGGACTATACCCAAAGGACATAAAAACAGCATACTACAGGGACGTAGCCACATCAATGTTTATAGCAACACAATTCACAATAGCTAAACTGTGGAGCCAACCTAGATGCCCTTCAATAGAGGAATGAATAAAAAACTATGGCATATATGCACAATGGAATATTACTCAGCGTTAAAAGAGAATAAAATCAGCATTTGCAGGTAAATGGATGGAGTTTGAGAAGATAATGCTAAGTGAAGTTAGCCAATCCCCAAAAACCAAATGCCGATAGTTTTCTTTGATATAAGGAGGCTGATTCATAGTAGATAGGGAGCGGGAGCATGGGAGGAATAGATGAACTCTAGATAGGGCAGAGGGGTTGGAGGGGAAGGGAAGGGGGCCTGGGGTAATAAATGATGGTGGAATGTGATGATCATTATTATCCAAAGTACAGGTATGAAGACAAGAATTGGGGTAAATATACTATGTATACAACAAGCGATATGAAAAATTGTGCTCTATATATGTAATAAGAATTGTAATGCATTCTGCTGTCATATATAAATCTAAAAAATGCCCAACATACAGAATAAGGAACAAATTTTAAAACCATGAGAGAAAGGAATCAGATTACATATAGGGGAAAATCAACTAGGATAACAGTAGATTTTTCAACACAGACCCTGAAATCTAAAAGATCCTGGAACAGGCTGGGGATGTGGCTCAAGTGGTAGCGTGATTGCCTGGCATGTGTGCGGCCCAGGTTTGATCCTCAGCACCACATACAAACAAAGATGTTGTGTCTGCCAAAAACTAATATAAATAAATAATATTAAAAATTCTCTCTCTCTTTAAAAAAAAGATCCTGGAACAACATATATCAAGCTCTGAAAGAAAATGGATGGTAACCAAAAATCTTGTATCCAGCAAAATTAGGCTTTAGATTTTATGATGAAATAAAAACCATCCATGATAAACAAAACTTAAAAGAATTTACAGCTAGAAAACTGACATGACAAAACATCCTTGGAAAAAATATTCCATGAGGAGGAAATGAAAAACAACAATGAAAATCAGCACAGGGAGGTAATACACTAAAGGAAAAACTAATCAAAGAAGAAAATCAAGTCAAGTTAAATAACAAAAATAAACAAATATGGCTGGGAATACAAACCATGTCTCAGTAATAACCCTGAATGTTAATGGCCTAAACTCACCAATCAAAAGGCATAGGCTAGCAGACTGGATTAAAAAAAGATCCAACAATATGCTGCATCCAGGAGACTCATCAGATAGGAAAAGACATACAAGACTGAAGGTGAAAGGTTGGAAAAATCATACCACTTACACAGACTGCGGAAGCAAGCAGGGATTTCCATCTTTGTATCAAATAAAGTAGACTTCAAGCCCAGGTTAATCAAAAGGGATAAAGAAGGACATTACATACTGCTCAAGGGAACCATACACCAACAAGACATAAAAACCATAAATATATATGCCCCAAACAATGGTGCAGCTATGTTCATCAAGCAAACTCTTCTCAAGTTCAAGAGTCAAAATGACCACAACACAATAATCTTAGGTGACTTCAACACCTCTCTCACCACTGGACAGATCTTCCAAACAAAAGTTGAATAAGGAATCTATAGAACTCAATAATACAATCAATAACATAGAATTAATGGAAATATATAGAATATTTCAACCTGCATCAAGTGGATACACTTTCTTCTCAGCAGCACATGGATCCTTCTCTAAAATAGACCATATAATATGCCACAAGGCAACTCTTAGCAAATACAAAAAAGTAGAGATACTACCATGCATTTTATCAGATCATAATGGAATGAAATTGGAAATCAATAACAAAATAAAGAATAAAAATTTCTGCATCACATGGAGACTAAACAATATGCTACTGAATGAATAATGGGTTGCAAAAGACATCAAGGAGGAGATTAAAAGTTCTTAGAGGTAAATGAAAACTCAGACACAACATATCAAAATCTCTGGGACACTATGAAAGCAGTTCTAAGAGGAAAG